CTTTTGACCCTGAGTAAAAGTAATCTTATTCTGGTCATAGCCGAGATGTTCACTAGTAAAGCATAGCGGTATATAGAGTCACAGAGTTGTATAGCACAGAAACAGAACCTTTGGTCTAACTTGTCCGTGCCAACCATATATCCTAAATGATTCTAGTCCCCTTTGCCAGCATTTGGCCCATATCTCTCTAAACCCTTCCTATTCATATACTCATCCAGATGCCTTTTAAATGTTGTAACTGTACCAGCCTCCACCACTTCCTCTGGCAGCTCATTCCATACACGCACCACCCTCTGTATGAAAAAGTTGTCCCTTAGGTCCCGTTTAAATCTTTCCCTTCCCACCTTAAACTTAAACACCCTCCAGCTGTGGATTCCCCTACCCTGGGGAAAAGACCTTGACTATACACCCTATCCATGCCCCTCATGATGTTCTGAACTTCTATAAGGTCATCCCTCAGCCTCCGGGGCTCTGAGGGAGGAAATCCCCAGTCTATTCAGCCTCTCTCTGTAGCTCAAACCCTCCAACCCTGGCAACATCCTCGTAAATCTTTTCTGAATCCTTTCAGGTTTCACAACATCTTTTCTATAGCAGGGAGACCAGAATTGAAAGCAGCATCCCAAAAGTGGCCATATTAAATATGAAACAAGATGAAGTAAATCTCATGCCTAACCTCACCATTTGTAATCGCTCAGTTTATGTCGCTGTATTATCCTTCAGAATGATTTTGACTTGGGGAAATAGTTTCCATAATTACCATCTGTGTCCTAAGTCAGGGATTATAATTTCCAAATGAAGACAGTGAGAATTTGTACTTTTTTTAATTAACTGAACATGCTGACTCATCCATACAAAGGACAGATGAAGATGTGGAATAGTACTATTGTGAAAAGAGCCCACTCAAGTGCTGGCAACTGAGCAATAACTAAGACTCCACACCACAGCTCACACTTCGCAATGAGATGTTGAAGGACAGTTTCTTGAAAAGGTTTTTTTTCTAACAGCAGCTAATGACCCCAGCAAGGCCTGATTTTGCTCAGACACAGGGTTTTATAAACATGAAATGCCACAGGTAATGTGGCAGGGCACTGTGCTGGTAGCACGCATGGTAAATGTTACCAGTACCCTGAGCAACTTCGCTTCGGATTAAAGAGTGTTTGAGGAACGGGTTTCACAGCAAGTGCAGATGGAGTTTCAGCAGTGCCGAACTCCACAAGGCAAGGCTGGTTCTCAGAACTGACCTCTTCGGTTTTGTTTGCAAGCTACGCTGGATTATGGTTTTGCCCATCAGCACATGAAAAGGATGCGCGTAGAACAGAAATAACAAACACTACGAGGTGGAAATTGGAAAGAGTCCATTTTGGGGATTGGGCTTACGATTGGTAATTATACTGCTTCCACTCCCCACGTCTACTTTGCGCTATCTCCTCATCCAAATGCTTTCAGAGTGAAGCTCACACCGCTAACTGCCTGCATGGTCAGTAAGAGGCCAACAGCAGCATCTGCAGTGATCTGAACATCTAAAAGGTGGCCTGCCCTCTTAAAAGAAGGCTGCACGTGTGAAGCTAGTTCATTTGCCTTGGAGATACTTGGCTGGAAGCAAAATCATAGGAACTGGAGCAAATGGAGGATGCCAGGCTTTCTGGCACAGCTGTAGGAGTGCTAGTGATAGAGGTAAAAAGGAGGGAGGCCATGTTTCTAAAAGGGGTTTCAGGAGCTTCTCAACACACAGTATCTTGAAGAATAAAGTGTCTCGTAACAAAAGAGAGCAGCAGAGGGCCAGCCAGAGTCAGGCCTGCCCTACACCGACCAGGCCTGCTTGAGGTGTTAGCTTTTTTCAAGTGGGAGGATCAAACAAAGGGAAAATTCACTAACATCAAAGGAAGTGCCAAGACTTCAGAACAGAGCGATATTTGGGTATAAGCTAAGTAGGTCAGTAAGTGACACGAAGAATAACAGAGGGAAGACAGCATCACATTGGCAACACACAAGATAATTAGAAAATGTCATAGCTATATCCAAATGTGAAACATATCCATAACAAAATGGATAAATTAAAAGCATTGATCAAAATATACAGGTTTGATCAAATAACCACTACGGAGATACAGTTACAAATTGAACAGGGTCGGGACCTAAATATTCCAGGGTATACTCAGCTCTTAGAAGTGGTAGGTAAAATGGAAAAGGAGGAGGTTTATCCATGATAATAAAGGATGAGATAACGATCATGAAGGTTGGGGAGTATCTTAGCTCAAAGTCAAGTATAGTTAATGCTGTCTAGGCAAGAAACAAGAAGGGGTAAAAAAATTGCGTATTATTTTCAATGGCCCCCCCCACAGGACAATTACAGTGATCCAGCCATTTAAATTGGCCTGCAGCTTTCTAAAGCAGGATTTCCCCTCAGATTATAGAGTCCCTACAATGTGGAAATAGTTCACTCGGCCCATTGACTCCACACTGAACCTCCGAACAGCAGCCCACCCAGACCCCTAATCCCTGTAACCCTGCATTTCCCATGGCCGATCCACCTAGTCTGCACATCTTTGGACAGTGGGAGGAAACTGGAGCACCCGGAGGAAACCCACGCAGACACGGGGAGAATGTGCAAAGTTGCCTGAGGCTGGAATTGAACCCGTGTCGCTGGTGCCGTGAGGTGACAGTGCTAACCACTGTGCCACCCTGATGGGGCCAAAAGCTCCCCCCTCAAGACAATTAAATACCCATCGGCCATTGTATGATTGTGTGACAAGTTGACCAACTGCAGGTGAGCTTGACCTGACCCTTTGCACTTTGGGAGAAGGGACATCATCATCTTCACATAATTCAGTAAAAGAGTTAACAAGACTCCTCCTTCAACACTGAACACAATTCTTAAACTAACACTGTTCCAGCAAAAGCCAAGGGCTGCAGTGAGCTGTATACCACAATAGAGTAACTGTGCACACTGAAGCAAAAATTACCTAAAATTCACTAGAAAAACTCAAAGTTTTATGTATGTGTCAATGCACAGAGAGTCCTCTTCCAACTGGTCAGAACAACCTATACGTGCATAGCAGAATAAGAGGTGACCTTATTGAAACACACAAGATTCTTAGGGGAAACCAAAAAAACTGTGAGTTCTGCAAAACAGAAACAAAAACAGAAGTTGCTGGAAAAGCTCAGCAGGTCTGGCAGCATCTGCGAAGAGAAATCAGGGTTAACGTTTTGGGTCCAGCGACCCTTCCTCAGAACCAGTTCAGAACGTCAGAACCAGAAGGATGCCCAAACGCGAAATGTTAACTCTGATTTCTCTTCTCTTCTCAGTCCAAAGATGCTGCCAGTCCTGCTGAGCTTTTCCAGCAATTTCTGTTTAAGATTCTTAGGGGACTTGACTGAGTAGATGTGGTAAGGTTGTTTCCCACTGTGTCAGAGTCTAGGACCAGAGGGCATAATTTCATAACTAGTGGTCACAAAATTTAAGACATAGATAAGGAGGATTTTTTTTCTCTTCTCACAGGGTAGTCAATCTGTGGAATTCTTTACTGCAGAGGGCTGTAGAGGCTGGGTCATTAAGTATATTCAAGACTAAGATAGGATTTTAATCAGTAAAGGAAACAAGGGTTATTGGAAAACACAGGAAAGGGGAGTTGATGGCTATCAATCAGCCATGATCCCATTGAATGGCAGAGCAGACTTCGTGGACTGAAAGGTTTACTTCTGTTCCTACATTTTATGCACTTATAATGAAAACTGAATCATTTATTTCATAGCAGGACATAGATCAAGTGCCAATACAACAGCACCTAAATAGTACAAATCTGTGAATATTGTGTCAAAGGGTGTTTTGCACTGAAATCTGTTGCAAAACAGACGATGTGAATTGGTATACCCAATTGATTTTGCCTTGAATTGTTTCAATGAATCAGAAAAATCAGACAGGACATTTACTGGAAGACTAATACAATTATCACCCATTTACAGGGTGTTCCAATGTTAAAATAAACTCCAAGTCTCCAGTTAACACCAAGGGGTCATGTTTATTCAGTCTCACTCAACGTCATCAACGACAGTGGTCCTGAGGGATCAGAAACCCCAAGGTATTATTTAGAATGTGTAAACTGTAGTGCAGAACACACATTGTGGAGTGAATCAATTCCAATGTGCCCATCAAGTCGGCATTCTCTAAAGGTCAGGCTTGATGATTCCATCATAGATTCTCTTTCTCCCCTTCTTTGCTAATCCACAAGGTACAGGAAGCTCTTCTCTCTAAAATGTTCAAGCTGCCCTGTAGAAACTAATGGATCTCAAAATGTGTTGCCAACTAAGCCCCCATTGTTCAACCAGCTGGTATAGCTATTGGCAGTTGGTGAAGCTCTGTTATGTCTTAGAAGTGAGTATCTACAAACAATTGCAGAATGTTAAAAATATTGCATTCCAAACGACAGTTGTATTGGACTTGAAACATTAACTTTCTTTCTGACTCCACAGTTGCAGCCAGACCTGTTGAGTTTCTCCAGCACTTTCTGCTTCTATTTCGGATTCCCAGCATCTCTGTGGTACAGCTCACAAAGAACTGAGATTAATTGCAATCCGCAGCTGAAGTGGGGTGACTGCATCTAGACACAGGCATATCTTGGCTCTCACTTCAAATTCATCCATTATTACCTTATTATTTTCTTTGTATTATAAATCCTTATGTCTACATTTTTTAAATAATACTTATTTCACTGCAGCAGAAGAAAAGTAAAGCAATCAAACAATGAAAGCTTTCCGTTTATAAAGTGTCTTTCACAGACGCAG